TTCAAGGCGCACGAGTCGAGCGAGCCGTCGAAAACGTCGACGCCGTACAAAATGGGAGCGTTCACGCGCGCGTTCTTCAGATTCTTGATGGTCTGCTGGCTTTGCACCTTGCCCGTCCCAAGCTTGAGTGTCAAGTCAATCGTGGTGCCGTACACCCAAGCCGTGTTGATCGCCAATGTAGGCAGCGAGGGCGAGGGAGATGGCGAGGGAGATGGCGAGGGAGACGGCGAGGGAGATGGCGAGGGCGAGGGCGACGGCGACGGCGACGGCGATGGAGCCAGGCCTGGGCTTGACGGAGATGGCGCAACGCACTTGGGCGGAAAGCCTGAGCACTCCTGGGACATGCAGTCCCATTTGTGCCCGCAGGAGCAGTTGGCCGCGAAAGGTTTCTTGCCGCAGGGAGTCATGGCCGCCACGAGAGCTATCTTCGAGTCGGCTTCCTGCGGGGTGTAGACGAGGGTGCACTTCGCGGTGTGCTCGATGTACTCGAGGTTGAAAAACACGGACTCGTCGTTCAGCGGGTCGATGGTTACGCACCGGTCCTTGCACAGCTTGAAGTCGATGTCCGAGCCGGACGGGCAAGGCAGCGATGGGTGGCCGCACGTGCCGACGCTGGTGCCATTGCCGGTGAGGAGCGGCGAGATCTGCGTGCACTGCGGGACGATGCGGTCGCCGAGCGGGAGCGGCGCCGCGGAGACGAGCGACGCGGCGGCGGACAGGAGGGCAGCGCGAGTGGACATTGCGAGGCGGAGAGTGAAATGCGAGCGAGCGTGCTGGCGATGAAGGAGAAGGATTTTACGAGACAGGAAGGTGCAAGTGCTCCAAGGTGCGTCAAGCGCTCGTGCTGGTGATTCGGAAAGGAGCCAACGAGGGGCAACCGCAGGCCGGCTTTTGTGTGAGTTCAGCAATGAATGAAGAATTAGATCACTACCGCCGAAGCGCAAGCGCTTGGAGCAAGGGAACTGCCTGCCACGTATGGGTCCCAGACTAGCACCCCACCTCGCGAGCCGACGTTCTGGCTCAGCGAGGCTGCTGCGGAGCACTCGGGGCCGACGTTCTGGCCCAGCGAGGCCGCTGCGGGGCACCCGGCGGCTCGGTTCGCTCATCAGCGCAAACTCGGTCGAGCAGAAAGTAAGGTGTGTGTGTAAAGGCGGCGCGGCACGGTAAGGGTCGGCGGTAAGGCGGCGCGGCGGCAGCAGACGGCAGGCAGGACATCGGACGGCGGGACATACGGTACGGCGGGCGCGGCACTGTAGGAGCGGCGGTATGGCGGCACGGCGGTTACGGACGGCAGGGGGTACGGCAGGCTAAACGGCAAGGGCGGCGCGGCACGGAGGAAGGAGCGGCACGGTAAGGAACGGTGGCACGACGGCAGACCACAGCGGCGAAGGGACGGCGGAGCATTGGACGGCGGGGAAAGGGTCGGCGGTAAGGCGGCGCGGCGGCAGCAGACGGCAGGCAGGACGTCTCGGACGGCGAGACAAACGGCACGGCGATCACGAGGAGGTAGAAAGTCGGGCGCGAGCGGGCGGGGTGGCGGCGAGGCGGCGGGAGAGTGACGAGGCGAGGGGGGTGGCGGGTTGGATCACGAGGAGGTAGAAAGTCGGGCGCGAGCGGGCGAGGTAGCGGGGAGGCAGCGGGAGGGTGACGAGGCGAGGGGGGTGGCGGGTTGGATCACGAGGAGGTAGAAAGTCGGGCGCGAGCGGGCGAGGCAGCGGCGAGGCGGCGGGAGGGTGACGAGGCGAGGGGGGTGGCGGGCTGGATCACGAGGAGGTAGAAAGTCGGGCGCGAGCGGGCGAGGCAGCGGCGAGCAGGCGGGAGGGTGACGAGGCGAGGGGGGTGGCGGGTTGGATCACGAGGAGGTAGAAAGTCGGGCGCGAGCGGGCGAGGCAGCGGCGAGGCGGCGGGAGGGTGACGAGGCGAGGGGGGTGGCGGGTTGGATCACGAGGAGGTAGAAAGTCGGGCGCGAGCGGGCGAGGCAGCGGCGAGGCGGCGGGAGAGTGACGAGGCGAGGGGGGTGGCGGGCTGATATACGAGGAGGTAGAAGGTCGGGCGCGAGCGGGCGAGGTAGCGGCGAGGCGGCGGGAGGGTGACGAGGCGAGGGGGGTGGCGGGTTGGATCACGAGGAGGTAGAAAGTCGGGCGCGAGCGGGCGAGGTAGCGGCGAGGCGGCGGGAGGGTGCGGGCGAGGTAGCGGCGAGGCGGCGGGAGGGTGACGAGGCGAGGGGGGTGGCGGGTTGGATCACGAGGAGGTAGAAAGTCGGGCGCGAGCGGGCGAGGCAGCGGCGAGCAGGCGGCGGGAGGGTGACGAGGCGAGGGGGGTGGCGGGCTGGATCACGAGGAGGTAGAAAGTCGGGCGCGAGCGGGCAAGGCAGCGGCGACGGATCGATTGGTAGCGAGAGCGTGAACGGGAGCTGCTTGGTTGGGTCCGACTGCATGATCTGACGGAAGCGCCTCACCATCTCATCCGCGTAAGAGATCGGCTCCTGCCCGAGGTCGTACATGATCACCATGCCAAAGAAGCCTTTCACATCTTTGAGGTCGTCGTAGTACGTGACGAGGTCGATGGGATTAAAGTCCTGCACTGTGAGCAAGTAGTTGGGGCACGCCTTCTTGACCTCCTTGACAATGCTTCGCGTGGATTCTGCTGTAATCTTGCAGCCCGCCTCGAAGTCGAAGACGATACCGTCCATGCCACCCTCGCCGCATTGGAAGCAGTCCTTGATCTTCTGCGCGATGGTTTCAGGTGGGGTTGTGATCGGGCACTTGTCGCCCGGGTTGACCCCAGCAGAGACGGACGCCAAGACCTTGTCAAAACCTTGAGCCTTGTAGGTGCTCAACATCTGGCTCGCCGGGTTGTTCAGAGGATTCAAGGCGCACGAGTCGAGCGAGCCGTCGAAAACGTCGACGCCGTACAAAATGGGAGCGTTCACGCGCGCGTTCTTCAGATTCTTGATGGTCTGCTGGCTTTGCACCTTGCCCGTCCCAAGCTTGAGTGTCAAGTCAATCGTGGTGCCGTACACCCAAGCCGTGTTGATCGCCAATGTAGGCAGCGAGGGCGAGGGAGATGGCGAGGGAGATGGCGAGGGAGACGGCGAGGGAGATGGCGAGGGCGAGGGCGACGGCGACGGCGACGGCGATGGAGCCAGGCCTGGGCTTGACGGAGATGGCGCAACGCACTTGGGCGGAAAGCCTGAGCACTCCTGGGACATGCAGTCCCATTTGTGCCCGCAGGAGCAGTTGGCCGCGAAAGGTTTCTTGCCGCAGGGAGTCATGGCCGCCACGAGAGCTATCTTCGAGTCGGCTTCCTGCGGGGTGTAGACGAGGGTGCACTTCGCGGTGTGCTCGATGTACTCGAGGTTGAAAAACACGGACTCGTCGTTCAGCGGGTCGATGGTTACGCACCGGTCCTTGCACAGCTTGAAGTCGATGTCCGAGCCGGACGGGCAAGGCAGCGATGGGTGGCCGCACGTGCCGACGCTGGTGCCATTGCCGGTGAGGAGCGGCGAGATCTGCGTGCACTGCGGGACGATGCGGTCGCCGAGCGGGAGCGGCGCCGCGGAGACGAGCGACGCGGCGGCGGACAGGAGGGCAGCGCGAGTGGACATTGCGAGGCGGAGAGTGAAATGCGAGCGAGCGTGCTGGCGATGAAGGAGAAGGATTTTACGAGACAGGAAGGTGCAAGTGCTCCAAGGTGCGTCAAGCGCTCGTGCTGGTGATTCGGAAAGGAGCCAACGAGGGGCAACCGCAGGCCGGCTTTTGTGTGAGTTCAGCAATGAATGAAGAAAGAGTCGTGCTCAATCTTTACCGGTATGGGAGTTTTTTTCAGTGTATGTAGCTCTTACTTACGAACATACCCGTAGGTGAACTGCTGACGGGGTTTGCGATGAGGAGCGATCCGAACGTGGTATTCGGGTGATTAGATCACTACCGCCGAAGCGCAAGCGCTTGGAGCAAGGGAACTGCCACGTATGGGTCCCAGACTAGCACCCCACCTCGCGAGCCGACGTTCTGGCTCAGCGAGGCTGCTGCGGAGCACTCGGGGCCGACGTTCTGGCCCAGCGAGGCCGCTGCGGGGCACCCGGCGGCTCGGTTCGCTCATCAGCGCAAACTCGGTCGAGCAGAAAGTAAGGTGTGTGTGTAAAGGCGGCGCGGCACGGTAAGGGTCGGCGGTAAGGCGGCGCGGCGGCAGCAGACGGCAGGCAGGACATCGGACGGCGGGACATACGGTACGGCGGGCGCGGCACTGTAGGAGCGGCGGTATGGCGGCACGGCGGTTACGGACGGCAGGGGGTACGGCAGGCTAAACGGCAAGGGCGGCGCGGCACGGAGGAAGGAGCGGCATACGGGCTGGAGAGCGCCGAGCCGAGGTCTGGAGGCTGCAGCGCGGCGAGAATGGCACGAGGCTGCGGTTGCGTCTATTGCAGAGCGGCCAGGTGAAGCATTTCAAGTGGGGGGGGGGAAAGTGTTCTGTTTTATTGGCCAGAAAAGAAACACTCGAACTACGAGTACGGGTTGCAATCTATATATAAGATGCTCGGCCTGCTGGCCGCCGCCCTCTCCTTCTCAAGTGCACTTCTGTCGAGGGCTCGCACAAATGCGCTAGCCTGCAGCAGCGCCGCATCACCAGCGCTCAGACCAGCGGGCTTTTCCGGGAGACAGTCCGCCACAGATGCAGTGCCGCCCTCTGAGCCCACACGACAGACGGGTACCGCGTCGCACCAGTGGCTCCTCGCCACGCACAGCGCGGCGCGGCAATCAGCGCCGCTTGCCTGTGCCGCCGGCGGCGGCGGCAGCAGCGAAAGCGGCGGCGGCGGCGGCGGCGGCGGCGGCGGCGGCGGCGGCGGCGGCGGCGCGCCTCGGAAGGCGGCGCGGCGCGGGCCGCCCATCCTGGGCAAGCGCGCGTGGCAGGTCGGTCTGTCTGGCGTCGTCTGCGCGACCGTGCTCTCCTACTTGCGCCGCTCGGCCGCGCCGCGCCTCTTCGCCCTCCACGTCGCAGCCATGGCGCCGATGCTTCCTCTCGCCACCGCATCGGTGAGCACGGTGAGGCAGCGGCTGACGAGGCCGCCTGCGGGCCTGCCCGCCGCCGCGCGGAGGCGGCGCAACGAGTGGTACGTGATCCGCCACTTTGTCGCCTCCGCGGCCGCCTTCTACCTCGCCATCGCCGGCCTGGTCGGCATCGTGCGCCCGAGGAGGCGCAGTGGACGACGCGTCCGGGACACGTCCACGACATGTCCCGGACGTGTCGTGCGTAGGTGTGCCAGAAGGAGGCGCTCGGAAGGCCCCACCTGCGCACGCTGCACGCCTGGTGCGGCGCTGCGGCGTGGGTCCTGTGGGTGTGAACGGCGTCTCTTTACAGCTGCAGCTGTGAACAGGTGCGGCGCTGCGGCGTGGGTCCTGTGGGGCGCCGCATATCTCGCGGCGCAGCCGCAGGTGTAGCACGCACGCACGCACGCACGCACGCACGCACGCACGCTCACTGACACCTTTCTTCTGTCACCGCTTCTGGCCGCAGCTGCAGGGGCGGCGCGATTGTTTCTCTTTTCACGCGCCGCTCGCCCCTGCGCAGGTGTGGCGCGACCAGTGGCGGCAGCGCCGCTTCTCGCTCCTCTCCAACAAGCGGTGGATCTGAGAGACAGCCGAGAGACAGCCGAGAGACAGCCGAGAGATGGCCGAGAGATGGCCGAGAGATGGCCGAGAGACAGCCGAGAGATGGCCGAGAGATGGCCGAGAGACAGCCGAGAGACAGCCGAGAGACAGCCGAGAGACGGCCGAGAGACAGGTCGCTTCTCTGCAACATGCGGCGGCCCTAACGTGGCAGCCAAGCACCGCATCCTGTGATCCGCGTCTGTTCACACTCTCCGGCTGTTCACACTCTCCGTCTGTTCACACTCTCCGTCTGTTCACACTCTCCGGCTGTTCACACTCTCCGGCTGTTCACACTCTCCGGCTGTTCACACTCGTCTGTTCACACTCTCCGTCTGTTCACACTCTCCGGCTGTTCACACTCTCCGGCTGTTCACACTCTCCGTCGGTTCACACTCTCCGTCTGTTCACACTCTCCGTCTGTTCACACTCTCCGTCTGTTCACACTCTCCGGCTGTTCACACTCTCCGTCTGTTCACACTCTCCGGCTGTTCACACTCTCCGGCTGTTCACACTCTCCGTCTGTTCACACTCTCCGGCTGTTCACACTCTCCCTCTGTTCACACTCTCCGGCTGTTCACACTCTCCGTTTGTTCACACTCGTCTGTTCACACTCGTCTGTTCACACTCTCCGTCTGTTCACACTCTCCGTCTGTTCACACTCTCCGTCTGTTCACACTCTCCGTCTGTTCACACTCGTCTGTTCACACTCTCCGGCTGTTCACACTCTCCGTCTGTTCACACTCTCCGGCTGTTCACACTCGTCTGTTCACACTCTCCGTCTGTTCACACTCTCCGTCTGTTCACACTCTCCGTCTGTTCACACTCTCCGTCTGTTCACACTCTCCGTCTGTTCACACTCTCCATCTGTTCACACTCGTCTGTTCACACTCTCCGGCTGTGTGAACAGGTGGCTCTGGTCCGACAGCACGCACCGCCGTCTCGGCGTCCTCGCCTTCGGCGCCGCCCTGACTGCCTACGCCAGCGGGCTGCTTGGCTGGCGCGCGCTGCCTCCGCTCGTCGCGAGATGCTGCGCCGGCCTCGTCGCCCTCATCGGCGCGTCGACTTTGGGCGGACACGGGGCTCGTGTCCGAGATGACCCGAGATCACCCGAGATGGCTCGAGATGGCCCGAGATTAGGCGCTGCTCGAGCACGCGTCCGCCCTCGTGATACGATGACCCGAGATGACCCGAGATTAGGTACGTGAGTCGGGGCGCGCGCTCAGGGCTGCGGCGCTGCCGCCGACACGCTTGGTGAGGGGCGTGTGGAGGGGGGGGGTTCCGCGCGAGGACGACTGAGCGGCCGAGCACTGGCAGAGGCGCGCGTGCAGCTGCTGCTGAAGGCGCGCGCGGTTGGGTTGGGGTTGGTCCGTGTTCTCCTCTCATGCGGGCTCTCTCCTCTCTGCCCCCCCCCCCCCCCTCTCCCCCCCACGGGCGCTCGCGAAAATATCGCTCGGGTCCGTTGGCCTCTTTGTAGGGAAGAATTTTGATATTCGTCAAAACGCCTGCTGGGCGGGGCAGAGCTTCGTCTGACTCCTAGAGTAGGTCCAGCCCCTCTGGGGGTGGCCGAGTTGTTGCGACATTTGGCGATTCCGCGGCTTACTGGGCCCCTGAGCCGCTCCCCGTGACCCGTGTGCGATTCTTGTAGCGCAGGCATGGTACTGATAGTAAACAGTTCAGAACCGGCCTTGTAAACACAGGCTACAGCCCCACACACGCGCCCGCCATAGCTCCTGGAGGCTGGAGAGCATGTGCGCGAGTGACGCGCTACAAGCCGCGAGAGTGCTCTTGCTGCACCTCGCAGCTGCACCGAGTGTGCTCGCAGTGTATGCCACGGCCGCCGCCTACGGCATTGCTCTCGTGCATCTAGAGGCGACGCAGGTCCATCAGCAGGGCTCATCCAATGCGAGCGGCGCACATTGTGGCAGTGCACGGCCACATGCCGGCTGTGGCGGCTCGAATGCCCCCGGCAGTAATGATGGTTATTAACCTGCGTATTGGGGCCGCAGCAGACTGCTGCTGTTGTTTGTTGCTCATGCTTGGCGAGAACCAATGCAGCGATGGACAGCTCGCTACAGGCGCTCGCGGGGTCGTGAGTGGGGGTCCCCACCGCTGCCCCTCTGACTAAACTTTTGTCTGTGGTGATGCCTTTCCCTGAGAACGCACACAACGCCTCGTGTGTAATGCCCTGTGTTTCCGCGAGTGCGTGTGCCCCGTCGTCCATGCTAGGACGTGTGTAACACTGACTGACTGACTGTGTGTCGTCGTGGTTTCGTATCAAGAATACTCACTCACTCACTCACTCACTCCACCGCACTCTCTTTCTCTATCTGCTGCCGACCGAAAGGAAAAAATAATCAGTCGCGCAGCGAGAGGGAGGGTCGAAAGCTGGCCGTCGGGAGACAGATCCGCGAGACCTCGAGAGAGTAGTGCCGAAGGCGCTCTTAAGAATCGAGCCCAAATCACTGTGAGAGTGCAATCATCGAACCCCCTCGCACTCAGGAATGCCCCTGCCCCTCCCTCCTCGCCTCCTCCCCTCGCCCCGCGCGATGCGGCGCGTGTTGGCCTTTGCGCGAGCGTGCCCAGCCGCTTCGTCCAATCTCCCAAGCGCTGCAGCGCGCTCGTGCCGGGCTGCTGCCCGCCGTGCTGCGACCGCCGCGCGAGCGGCTCATTCCGAGGATCGAGCGCCACGAATCTGGCGCAGCCGGATTGCGGGCAGCGCGACCACCCAGCGCGCAGCCGCGAATCGCCTCCATGCCTCCTGCGCTCCCGCGACGCTCGAAGCAAACCCGTGCCATGCTCATCCCATCTTACGCGGCTGACGCTCCCCCGCCGCCGCCTGCGCGCCTCGCAGATCCACAAAACAACGTGAGCGAGGCGGGTGTGCCGCGGAGTTCCTTGGCGCTGGGCCTCAAGTTGTGTACGCTGCGAGTAGGTGCGGCCCTCTTGAGCCTCCCACTCCCCAAATTTCACGGCCCTCAAAGACGCTCAGAGCAGAGAGAAAGAGCACTTGATGGCCCATTACGATATGTGCGCAATCAGAGGAGATTAGCCGAGATCCGATTCAGCCGACATTCTGTCCGTTAGTGCCTGAGATCGCCCCCGATCATAGCGAGGCGGGTGTGCCGCGGCCTCGGCAGCCGCCGCCCGCCCTGCAGTGTGGACTCAGCCGAACTCCCAGCACCAATCCACCCCGAGCGCGGTTGGCCCTTAGGTACGTTCCGACAAGATGCTCAAGATGATTTTCTGCCTCATGCTCGCCGTGGTGGCCAACGCGCTGCCGACCGACGACGCGACGGCGCTCCCTGGCGGGGTCGAAATCGCCACTGAGCGCGGCATCAGCCCCAACGAGCATCAGCCCCTGTTTGCAAGCCTGCCGGAGCAGTGCATGAGCACCACCCCGTGGTACAACGTGCGCCGCATATAAGAGCTAGCAGCCTGCAGCGCCGCACGGCAGCGGGAGAGAGATTCATAGAGAGGGCCGCGGGGCTGCCTCACCTCGCTCCCTCATCGCAACCGCAGGCCGGGTTCAATCAGGTCTATCAGACCCACTTTGGCTCTCAGCAGGAGGGCAGTGTCGTGTTCCCCGCGGACGAGCGTGCGCTGCTCAACACCCTGGTGGCGGCCGTCGAGGCACAAAAGCGCCCTACGATCGTTGCCGGTAGCCACGGGTACGAAGGCTATGGCAACTCGGGAGACGTCGTAATCGACATCTCAGGCTTGCAGCACATCGAGACGAAGATGGCAGGGCCCGACAACACGAAGATGGCAGAGCATGTTGTGATCGGGGGAGGAACGCCGCTGAGCAAGGTCTACAATTACCTCTGGAAGCGGCACGGCCGAATTCTCCCCGCAGGCTCGTGCCACTCCGTTTCTGCAGGCGGCCACATCACCGGCGGCGGCTACGGCGTCTTCTCGCGAATGTACGGATTGACGGTCGATTACGTCGGAGGTGTGCGCTTCGCTTGGGTTGACAATGAGACGAAGGTGAGGGTTGTCGATGCGTTCCACAATTCAAACTCTCCCGAGGAACAACGGCTCGTCTGGGCAGCGCGCGGTGCTTCGGCAGCAAATTTCGGTGTGATTCTGAAATACTACGTGCCTCTGGACTCGCTTCAGCCGTCGCTTTCCTCGCCCAATCCCCATCCCCCCACAGGGGAGCTTGCCTTCGTCAACAACCCGCCTGCGTTTTGGGAGGTTTCCTTCAACTTGATGCACCTGGAGGACTTCAAGGACGCGGAGTACGGCCCGATGATGCTCGAAAAACTGTACGACGTGTTCTGGGATTACTACAACTACAGCAAGGGGGAGCAACCCTCGCGCGACGAGACATTTGGCTTCTTCCGCATCAATTCGAATGGCATCGATCTCACTTGCATCGCCACGCAATACGATGCGCTGCTGGAGTACGTGGGCCGCTTCCTCGAAGCGAAGAATTCGACTATGGCTCTGAGCACTCTGGAGAAAGACGTCAGGCGCTTCACCTTCCTCGAATACGTCGTCGTCATGTCTGGCATCGGAGATAAGCCCTTCTTCAAGAACTCGGGCCACGTCCTCAAGAGCCACAGCGGACACGGCAAGGGCTACACATCTTCACAGCTGCGAGCCATGTATGACCACCTCCTGCAGAAGTACAAGCCTTGTGTCGGTGCCGCATGCGGCGAAGGACATGTGACGCTTGAGGTGTTTTGCTCGGACAAGGGCTCGAAGAACGTCACGATCCAGAAAGTGAATCAGACCGACAAAACGGGATTTCCGCAGTACTTTTGGATCAGTCAGCACGAGGCCCGGCCGGCGAGTGCTCAACGCCGCAACGGTCGCCGGCTCGCCGTTTGGATGGGACCGCAGGTGGATGAGACCGCCCTCGAAGGTGACGCAGGTGGGCCTCGTCCCGCTGACAGCGGAGTCGCATACGTTTGGCAGATGGACCCGTACAACGGAAAGATCGCAGACCTGACAGTCGACAATCCGCTCAAGACCCCTCAAGCGCCCTCGGCAACCTCGGTCTCGAACCGGGTGGCGACCGTCAAGACGCAGCCGCAGCTGTACTGGAACTTTCCAGAGGACAACAAATTTATGATCAAGTGGTTTGACTCCTTCACGAACTCAATGTGGGCGTCGACATCGACAAACAAGCTTCACAAGGACCAGTACCCCATGGTGCCAGGACTGTACATCAACTATCCTGACTCCTTTTTCAAGGAGATGTACCCTGAGGACTGGCTGAATCTCACCTACGGTGCCCCCCCCCCCCCCCACACACACACACATCACACCACTCACCCACGCGCACTGGGCTCGCACTTCAGAGCTGCCGTGGGGCTCTGTCGTGGAGATGCTTACCTGGCCTTCCCTAGGCAACGGAAACAACGTCCAAGGCGACCAGAAAGACTACCTGCCGTCGCTGCAAGAGGTGAAGGGCATGTTCGACCCGAACGACATCTTTACGCTGAAGTCGCGGCGCTACATTTACAACGCCACAAACGGTGCGTGGGATGACGAAGAACCGGAGATCAAAGATGGGCTCAGCATCCCGCTGCCAGACACGATCATGCCGGAACCCTACCTCGGCGGAGAAATTCACGATGAAAAGCTGGTCGTTTGCTAAACATTTGACAACATTGCCGAGGCCTTCTCCGCCTCCGAGGAGACATGACCGAGGCCTTCTCCGCCTCCGAGGAGACATGACCGAGGCCTTCTCCGCCTTCGAGGAGACATGTAACCTTGCCGAGGCTTCGCCTCCGAGGACCAATGCAATCTGCCGCCGGCAGCGCAGCGGTCTGCGTTCGCAAGTGTATCCCCTTCCTGGTCCCTCGAGATCGGGAGTGAGCGACATAGCTTTGCGGTGCGCTGTAGTATGGGCAAGGGTGGCGGCGCTAGTGTATTCCCAGCCTTCCTGGTCCTTGAGATTGGGAGGGAGCGCGGTGTGCGATGTTGCGGTATGTGGGGAAAGGGGGGAGGGGGGGGCGCGCGAGTGAATTCCCTTCCTGGTCCTCGCGATCGGGAGTGAGCGACATAGCTTGCTTGTGCGCCGGGCCCCGCGTTGCGCATGGCATTCAAGGCGAACTCCTCTACGGGGGAGTAGTGTTCTTCATTAAAGTAACTGTTATGGAGCGGTTTGGACGGGCGGCCGTGCGCGGTTTTGCGAGCTTCGACCGCGCGGGGCGGCGCCGTGGCCGTCGGGAGGCGAGGAATCCCGCAGCTGCTGTCCCGCACTGTCTGCAGGCCGCCTGGCAGGCGGTGTCACGGCGCCCCGTGAGGTGCGCGGGGGAAGCCAGCGGCGCCGCGCCTGCCGCGCGGGGGCGGGCGGGGGCGGGGATGGCGAGGTGGGCCCGTGCGAGCTACACGCTCGGTGCTGTTATTGCGGCGCGGAGCGCCCTTGGGGCGGCGAGAAAGCGCTTGACGGTCTCGAGGTGTGAAGAGACGCCGTTCACACCTTTTGCTATGAATAGGGCGCAGATCGCCGACTCAAGAGACGGCCTTCGCGGTGCGTGTGCATCGCGCGCTCCTCTGCACGCGCCGCGCTCTCAACGCGGCGCGCAGCGCCGCTAGAGCGGCTTGACGGCGAAAAAAGACTTAGCGGCTTTGAGGTGTGAAGAGACGATTCTCACACTTTTCGACTCGGATAGGGCTCGAGGCGCCGGTCCAGCAGACGCCGTGCAAGGGGCGTGTCGCGCGTGTGCTGCGCTACACGCTCGGCGCTGTTATTGCGGCGCGGATCGCCCTTGGGTCGGCGAGAAGGCGCCGTCCGGCGCTCACAATGTTGAGGTGTGAAGAGGCGCCGCTCACACTTTGTGCAATGAACAGGGCTCGGCTCGCCAACTCGCGAGACGGCCTTCGCGGTGCGTACGCAGCGTGTGCTCCTCTGCACGCGCCGAGCTCTCCACGCGGCGCGCAGCGCCGCTAGAGCGGCTTGACGGCGAAAAAAGACTTAGGGGCTCCGAGGTGTGAAGAGACATTTCTCACACTTTTCGACTCGGATAGGGCTTGCGACGCCGTTTCATCAGCCGCCGTTCAGGGGGCGTGTCGCGCGTGTGCTGCGCTACTCGCTCGGTAGACCCCCCCCCCCCCCAGCAGCAGGGATGGCTTTAGATGTGCAGGGGGGGTACCGAGCAATGTGCGGCCGCTCCTTTTGTAGGGAAGAATTTTGATACCCGTCAGGACGCCTGCTGGGGGCAGCTTCGTGACGACGTGTAAATTATTGTGCAGCTGTCATCCACTGCCGTATACGGAGACGTTTTGTACGTCTCGCATTTTCCGTTGCCGAGTATTTGCAGCGCCGAGTGAGGTCTGAGGAGTGTCTGTGTTTGTGCTCGACAGTTTTTTTCAATTCTAACACAGATCACTGAAACTCGTACAAGTGGTTAGACGAGCGTCTTCCTGGCGTACTCATCGACAGTCACGGGCACAAGCACGGCCACCAGAAGCGGCCCCTTGCTCGCGTACTCATCGGTTGCAGCCAGTGGAAGTGGCCCCGTGTTGTAGGCCGGTCGGGGCCTGCGTATAAGCCGCAAGAATAGCAGCCGTTTGAGGGTGTTGGCGGCGATGGCAACGCTGAGCGCGCAGGCGCCAATGGCAAAGCCAGCCATGGCCCTGCCTGTAATTTCTGGCGATAGGGCTGGCGGAGGCGGCGGCGATGGGGCCGGCGGAGGCGACGGCGGCGGTGGCTGGTTCGTGCACATGACAGACATCAATAGTCCGTTTAAGCTGCCCAGCGTGAGCCCGCCATGCTGATCAGCCACGTTCCAGTTCGCCGGCGGGCGGCCGTCGTGCCGCGTCGTGATCCACCTGCGCCAGCCTTGGTTCGCCATCTCGCCAGCGTGGGCCCACCGAGCGTCGGTTGGCGAGCCGTGCCTGGTCAGCAGCGCCCCGTCGGGAGCGAAGAGGCCGATCCCATCGAGCATGGCGGACATGTGTGCCGCGGGGATCGACAAGAGGTCATCCCAGTCGGCGGTGCGGTAGTTGTGGCCAAACTCGTTGGTGCATGCCTCCGCGTAGCCGAAGTCGCTGTCTTGGTCGTAGCTCTCAAAGGTCAGCCGGAACAAGCGGTTGGTTGGCAGCGACAGAGGCGACGTCAGCGGTGCAGGCGGCGAGGGTGGCGGCGATGGGGACGGCGGCGATGAGGCCCGCAGCTGGTACACACACATGACGCTGACCAGCCAAGGGCCGTACCAATTGCCCAGCGTGAGCCCGCCATGCTGATCAGCCACGTACCAGCTCGCCGGCGGGTGGCCGTCGTGCCGCGCCGTGAACCACCTGCGCCAGCTATTGTCGGTTGGCGAGCCGTGCCTGGTCAGCAGCGCTCCGTCGTCGTAGTGGCGCAAGCCGAGCCCATCGAGCATGGCGGACATGTGTGCCGCGGGGATCGATAAGAGGTCATCCCAGTCGGCGGTGCGGTAGTTGTGGCCAAACTCGGCGGCGCATGCGCCGAAATCGCTGTCTTGGTTGTAGCTCGCCGAGGTCAGCCGGAACAAGCGGTTGGTTGGCAGCGACAGAGGCGACGTCAGCGGTGCAGGCGGTGAGGGTGGCGGCATCTGTGTGCGGCAGAGCGGCTACCTATCGAGTTCCTTGGGATGTCGGCCGGGGACAGGTCAGGTCCAGCACAGGAGGGCGCCTGCGGTGTCGAGCGTTTCTTTCTCGAGCGGGAAAGCCTTTCTCGAGGTTCTCGAGGTGGATATCCTTTGGCCGCGTTGGGTAGCGAGGATTGGTGTAACCCGAGCCACGGAGGCGTGTTTTCTGACGGCCGACCGTCAGTGCACGGAGTTGCCACTTCTCCGACTGCCCCGGCTAGTTCCCGAGGCTCGCCGGGTTTCCCCTACGTCACCCAGGACCTAGCGCGGGTGGGTTGGAGGGGGCTCGCCCCGCTCCTCCCCATCGGGCCGCATGAGCGGCCACGCCTCGCAGATTCGTTTTCGCGCCTGGGTCAGGCGCGCGGGGCATCCCCCGGGTCGCTCGACCAGCGATCCGAAGAGTGGCCGCTATGCGAAGGAAAGAGTGGGGCCCTCGACGCCTCAGTCCGGCCCTCCAAAGGGGGAAGGGAAGTGCGGGGTCCCCACGGGCGCCTCAGTTGGGCCCTCCCGAGGGGGGGAGGGGAGCAAGGGGGTGGGGGGATCGGGGTGGTGGGGAGGGGTCTCGGGTTTCATGTGGCTAAGACGTGCCCTTTCGGGGAGGGTATGGGCAGGGATCGCTATCGAGGAGTGGTCTTCCCGACCGCGGCCCCCGCCCTTCCCCTCCTCCCTCGAGGCAGCGAGTAGGCAGCGAGAGGAG